AGCAACTGCCGCTGCGGACAGGCAGTGCGCAACGCCTCGCGGGCCTGTACGCAAGCTGCCAATCGCGCTGGTTGACTGCCGGCGCGCTGCTGCCGCTACGTGCGGCTAGCACGGCCACGACCGGCCCTTGCCGGCCGTCCGGCAACTTCCCTCGAACAATTCAACCTCAAATGACCCAAGCTGACCTGACCTGAACATGAATACTGAAATTACGTCAAAACATGAAATTTTGCACAATAGGTTGAACATGGTCGTGGCATGCGTACCGTGCGCCGCCGACGGCATTTGGGCCGTCTCCCGACCGAACCTGATCTTTCTCGGCAATTAATTCCTAACTGATCATGAAACAATATTTACTGAATAAATAGACACGAATGTTCGAAGGAATGTTTACTTAACGTACTTGCTACGCATGAGCGGCCGGTGGCACGCGCTAGGTGCACGGCCACGTACTTTGGCCAAATCAATACTCAAACATGAAAATTCTTTCGAATAACTCAAGCTGAATAGACATGATATTGCATCTAATGACTGAATATGCAAAGCTTGCTCGAGATATTATGAATAAAACATGATCATGCTATCAATGGAATACACATACGCACAAACGACTTAAGCCGTAACATGAACGAGATCATAACACAACCGGAGCTAACATGACTTTTAACATAAGTAATCCCAGGTATACTGAAGTTACCTTCTCCAATGCTCGACTAAAATTATTCAGAGTTCAAGCCTCCGTGCGTACTCTTCTCGGCGTGCGGTGCGTGCGTTGCTTGCGGGCGATTGCTACTAAGGTAGGCTCCTTCCCTTATTCTCTCTTACTTTCCTTAACCTAGTAACTTAATATATATGCATATCTATATGTTGAGGTAATATTGGGAAAAATTTCCCAATTGCTCCCTATAAATACTAAAAACCGAATGGGAGGAATAATTAGAGATGAGGTGGAGTTTTGTTGTTTCAACAATAACATGACACTTGCTAAAACTCTTAGAGGTTAAAAAATGATTAATCACCCCTTAATTCCTCTTGAGTTGACACGTGTAAGATCTTAAAGGAGAAGAAAATAGTTTCCCTTCTTGGAAGGAAGCTCACGACAATTTGCATTTAATTGGGAAAAAAATTTGCTAGGTCAATTTAAATTAAATTAAGCATTATAATGCCTACGGCATTATTTATGATGACCATGATTAATTCTATAATTAAGCACAATTAATGTTTAATTATTTAATTAAACATAATACTTAATTACCAAAATTTTTTCGAACGTAAACGGGACGTCGAAAATAATTTCGGGTAATTCTGACTGAAAATAAATAATTCCGAAAATAATACTCGACAATATTATTATATCGGAATTAAATACATGATTTATTATGATTAACATGACGGGATATTCCTGACTGAATAATTAATTCCGAACTCATTAATTAAATAAACGAATCGGAATTAAATCTGGAAACTTATTCGGTTACTTAAATAACTAAATCGAATAATTTATCGACTAATAGTCGAACATGGAATATAACTAGCTGATTGTTCGAACTTGAACATGAACATGATTATTTATTAACAAAGGCTAGCTTAAAACTAAAAGCTAGTATTTTTATTTATTAATAAAATACGGGGCGTTACATGAAGTGCAGAGAGTGTTTGTCGACACGGGAAGCTCAGTGAACGTGATCTTTTATGACTGTCTCAAGAGGATGGAGCTCGACATACAACTCACACCCCTCCATACTTCGCTATTTGGTTTCAATGGTTCGGAGGTCGTGTCCCTTGGAGAGATGATGCTCGCTGTCGTCCTAGAGGAGGGCGACTTGCGAAAGGTGAAAATGGTGAGATTTGTAGTAGTCGATGTCAAGTCGGCTTACAACGTGATCCTTGGGAGGCCAGCGCTTAATGCATTCCAGGCTGTGGTGTCGACTTACCATATGAAGTTAAAGTTCCCAGTCGAAGATCGAGTTGGAGAAGCTCGAGGCGATCAAAAGTTATCAAGGACTTGTTATCAAATTGCCGTGAAAACCAACCAGCAAGCAGAAATCAAGGAAGGGAAGAAACCGATGTCGAATGAAAGGAGGCCGAGCAGCGATGGCGAGTTCATGGAGATATAGATCGGAGAAATGAAGGAACAAACCACTAGAATGAGGAGGGTCAACAGTTGCCATTGGTCGTGGCATGTGATCCATCTTAAGCGCTTTTATGCTTAAAGAAATATTCTAAACTCTTGTACTGAACAATTTTCGAATCAAATTCAGAAATGCAATGAATTTCAAGTTTTCGTCTCAATTGTGTCTTTTACATTTTCATGGCGATTCCGTTATGATTACTTCAAAAATCGAATTTTTCAAAATGGCTATAAAACCGACCAACTCCAACGACTACGAAGTCGATTCAAACAACTACGAAGTTGTATTCTCGAGTGGAACCTCGAATAGGCTACGAAACCAACGACTACGAAGTTGATTCAAACAACTACGAAGTTGTATTCTCGAGTGGAACCTTGAATAGGCTACAAAGCCAACGACTACAAAGTTAATTCAAACAACTACGAAGTTGTATTCTCGAGTGGAACCTCGAATAGGATATGGAGCAAACGACTAGGAAGTCGATTCAAACAACTACGAAGTTGTATTCTCGAGTGGAACTCGAATGGGATACGCAGCCAACGACTACGAAGTCGATTCAAACAACTACGAAGTTCTATTCTCGAGTGGAATCTCGAATAGGCTACGCAGCCAATGACTACGAAGTCTATTCAAACAACTACAAAGTTGTATTCTCGAGTGGAACCTCGAATAGGCTACAAAGCCAACGACTACGAAGTCGATTCAAACAACTACGAAGTTTTATTCTCGAGTGGAACCTCGAATAGGCTACGAAGCCAACGACTACGAAGTCGATTCAAACAACTACGAAGTTGTATTCTTGAGTGGAATCTCGAATAGGCTACAAAGCCAACGACTGGGAAGTTGATTCAAACAACTACGAAGTTGCATTCTCGAATGGAACCTCGAATAGGCTACGAAGCCAACGACTACAAAATCGATTCAAACAACTACGAAGTTGTATCTCGAGTAGAATCTCGACTGAGCCACGAAACTTACGACTATGAAAATTAACTTAAAAAAATATGAATGATTACATCCCTAAGCATTCTAGATTACCAGTTGTGAAGCTGCTAAAAGTGTTGCTCGTCGTCGACCAGCTCGCAAGCCGGGTTAGGAGAAGACGAGTTGAACAAACTTCAGTTTACCAGCTGTGAAGCTGCTAAAAGTGTTGCTCGTCTTCGACCAGCTCGCAAGCCGGGTTGGGAAAAGACGAGTTGAAAAACTTCAGTTTACCAGCTGTGAAGTTGCATAAAGTGTTGCTCGTCTTCGAAAAGCTCGCAAGCCGGCTTGGGAGAAGACACATATGACGAGTTGAAAAACTTGAAAAATACAGCGCAACGAAACAGCATCAGCACAAACATCGAAAAATGGTTGAGATATATTAGGTAAACAAGTTCATTACATCCGCAACCGTCTCAACCCTTACAACTTAGGAAAATGGGTTGAGTACGACAATGAAAGGAAAAAACGACAGCCAACAAACAAAAGCAAAAACAAGCAAACATCTTCTTCGCATCTAGTTCTTCTGAGAATCAACAGTTGATTTTTCAGCAAGCTCAGCATCCCCGCCTTCATTAGCCACAGGCTCGGTCCTCGCATCTCCCTCGTCACCCAACGGCTCAGTCCATTCATCCGCTCCCTCGACCGCTTGCCCTGCTCCCAGCTATTCTACCTCTCTCTCCTCGTCAGCCTCTTTTTCTTTCTCCTCGTCGTCTTCCCCACTCGGCTCGACTATGTTGATCGGGCCAGCCAGAGGGGTGGGAGGAACCTCGAGTTGGGTGCCCAACTTAGCCTTCCGGATCGCCCGAGCCTCAAGACCCATCCACCAAGGATAATCGTCGGGAAGCGACGTGTCACCGTGATAGCCATCCGGAAGAGGGAGGGACTCTTTCAGGGCTTGACGGTCGACCTTTCCCTCCAGAACAGTGCCCTTCGCAGCCGACTCCCACGCATCAAAAGTGAAGTAGAAATACTGGAGGGTCGCGGGGCACAGTTTCTCGAGGAAGTCGGGGGAATTGCAGAATGCCCCGACAACCTCCTTCCGATAAGCGTCGAGGAAGACAGATCCCATCGGCGACTTGAGGAAGGACTTACGTCCCTCCTCCTTTTCGATTTCCCTCTCAGCCACGTTATCCTCAGTGGCCTTAGCGAGGTCGGCCCACAACCGATCGACTTTGGAGAGGGCGGCAGCCTTGTCGGCTTTAAGCTTCGCGATCAGAGCATTGGCTGCCGCGAGGTCGTCATCTTTCCTCTCAAGCTCATGGATCAGCTCCTCACATTTCTTTTTATAAGCATGGACGTAGGAGTAGGGGGAGCTGGACTCCTCGAGGAGGGTTGGCATTATGTACGCCATGAACTGAAAAAAAAAAAAGAGAAGAGAGGAGAGAACCAAAACGTCAAAGCTCAGGCAAAAGTAAGAGTATAAAGACAAGTCGACTAAAGCAGGGGTCGAGAATAACTACTCGATAAAAGCACAGCAGGGCCCGGCCAGCACGATCGGAAGGATCATGATCGGCGTGAGCTTTATCGGCGGCGAGGATGACTGAGTCAAAATACTTTGCGATATCATGCGGATGCAGATGGTTCCAGAGTTGGCACGGCCTCTCGAGTGTGACTGTCTGGAGGGCGCCAGGGGAATGGGGAACTTCGATCGATTTCCACTTATGCTGACTTTTCAGGTGCTTGGACGAGTCGACCCTCTGCTTGGGGTCG